TGTCCTGCCTCTTCGCCGAACAGCACTCCGACTGCTTGTCCATAATTAGCGGCTACATTGAAGCTATTGGCTATAAGTTTGCGTTTACGCATGCTACTCGGGAGAATCAGCGTCCGATTAGAATCTCAATTCTGGGCAAACTTGCGGAAGGAAAAGTGCAGGTGTTTTGGGCGTTTTGGGAGAATGGGCACTTTGGTTAAGGGGTGTTCCAGAGGATACAGATAGTATACCTGTTGATTGGCGCCCATAACGCTACTTCTCTAGAATGCCGATTCTTCCGTAACCTTAGCGACCGGCGTCAGGAACAACTACACAATTTTTTTTCGATGGAACTGCCGACTCTTTCAACCCGCTAAATCGTAACACGTACTTTCCTTCCTTAGAAACGGAAGATTCTCTCAAGACATACCCAGGCCTACAAGAGTTCACAAGCTCCATCGAACTGACACTCGTGAAGCCCAACTAGTTTCACTTCGTTTTCCGCCTTTTCCCCCACGATAGCGCACCCTGCTAGCATTTGAGACCGAGTATAAACTATGGTGCCATGTGCCTTTGAGCAGCGAAAGTGCAAAATGTGCCCTCCCACCTCCACGTGGCCGAACTACGACTAAGACTCGTTGGTCAATAGTACTGAAGAAGAAGGAATTAGAAGGCGTGCAAAATGCTTCTCCCAAGCGTACAGAAAACTGTAGCCATTTCCACAACAGCCCACCACATTTCTGTGCCCATGATTCCTTCTGCTGGACAGTCCTTCGGGTGGCTTTCAGATAGTGTCTTGCATTTCCGAATGCTAGTAGGGTTAAGATGTCTTGTTCGAGTGGTTTCCGACAGATTGTCTGCTTTTTTGAAGAGTCACCAGGACCGTAAATTCTCCAACTAGTCTGAGCCCTACTTGCAATCGCATAGTGCATCCTCGGCATGAGCTAGAAATTGCTCTGGGGACCTTAGAGAGCCTTCTATCCTTTGTTTTCTCAAAAATAGTGTCACGTAGAGAAGTTGGAGTCGTTTAGATGAGCTCTTTCCAATCCAGGATCTGTGACAATAGTTTCCTTTTCAGTCTTTCCGGCTACTGTGACTTTCTAGTTGGTCTCCGAAACCCACTTGTCCGATGCAGATCATCATACTACTCTATCTATCTATTCTATCTTCATATCTTCTATATATAAAGCAGAAGTTGTCTGTCCGTTTGTCGGACCAATAGGAGAATAGGCTCCGCCCACAATGGGCGGGGCCTATACTCAGCTGAGCGGTGTCCCTTGAAAACGTCAACAAAACACTTAAACGCCGTCAACATTGGGATGGGGGTGAGGGCATGTTGAAAATATGCCAAATACACACAAACAGCCTCGCACACTATAGACGGGGCGTGCACCGAAGTGAGTAGTGCCAACGACAAAAATTCGTAAAATTCCTCCGGAAGATCACAGGGACCGGGGACAAAATCATTCTCTATGCTACACCCACAATGGGCGTGGGGGCATACCCGAAGTGAGCGGGGCGTTTGTTCGGGCGGGCGGGGCCTAACGCAAATCTTCAAAATTCAGACCCGGAACTGCTCGGCAGCGGGAAAACGGACTCGAGTAAAAAGTGGGCAGGTAGATAAACAGAAGGAGGCACATCCGAACTGGGCGTTGGAAAGAGCCCGGCAGATTGCAGTAAGCGGGCGTTTGTCTGGGTAGGCGGGGACCAAGTAAAAATTTCGAAGTTCGAACCCGGAACTACCCGAGCAGCGGGAAAACGTGGAGTAAGAAGTCGGTCGAGGTTGAACGGAAGAAGGCATACTTGAAATGGGCGTGTGAAGCAAAAATCACTTTTTCCATCAGTATTCTTGGTAATAACATGGTTGTGTTATCATACGATTCACGACATTGTATACAATGCAGATGCTGACCCTGTGAACATCGGGCAGATGAGCAGTTGTTACGCTAGAACTTCCAGCACTTTAGCTAGCAGTGTTTGGATGAGCCCGCTTTAAGATCGACTCGCATTTTGTTACAAGCATTCATGTTATTACCAAGAATACTGATGGAAAAAGTGATTTTTGCTTCACACGTCCATTTCAAGTAAGCCTTCTTCCATCCTACCTCGATCGACTTCTTACTCCACGTTTTCCCGCTGCTCGGGTAGTTCCGGGTTCGAACTTCGAAATTTTTACTTGGTCCCCGCCTACCCAGACAAACGCCCGCTTACTGCAATCTGCCGGGCTCTTTCCAACGCCCAGT